ACGCCGAGAGCCATCATCTGCGGCCCGCTGCTCACTGCGCTTCCGTCCATCAATGAGGCCGAGTTAACTGCTTTCGCTGTTGCGCTCAGGCACTCCATGCCTGGGTTTGTGATTTATACTGATAGTGACGATGTTTGGAGAGGAGTGGTCATCATAGGGCAGCATGATTGCGGTCACTGCCTGGCCTCCAACGCTGTGCTTTGGCGTGAAGTTTGGCGGATCCTTCACGACAAGGGCGACGAAGATTTGGCGCGGCTTATTGTGAAGGTAAAGGCGCATCCTCGTCCCAGGGATTTTCAGCTTGAGCGTGCTTCCCCGCGTCGCAACGCGGGTAATGTTCTGGCCGATATGTTTGCGCGCTGGTCTGCTCAGACGGGAAGGTTGCCTGAGACCCAGCGCGACCTTTTGTCTCGCCGTCTCCGCACTCTCAAAGAGTGGATTCGGTGGATAGCCAAAGTTGGAGAGGGCGACGATACGTTCCACCCGCCCAGTGTTCGAAGGGGTCGCCCTCCCCAGCCGGTGCTGCAACTTGTTCGAGACAGGCCACCCACCCTGCTTGAACGTGCTCTCTCTTTGTCACGCAGCTTTGTTGCGAGTGGTCAGCAGCCGCATTCGCTTGTGCGATTTGTGCTCACGCATGATGTCGCGCGTGTGTGTTGCAGCGCGTGTCAGGCGATTTGCTCGGACAGGATAGGAACGCTTGGCTCCCCTTGTAAGCCCAAGCGTAGTGCCTGGGCCACCAAGATCTGGGACCGCCTAGACCGAAGGGGATACAGGCATGTTTCCAGGAACTGTTTGCTGCACGTTCGTGATAAGTCCACGGTTGTGCTGTACTTTCACTTCCTATTTCCTTGCGTAGTTGCTCGTGGCTGGATCAGTTGCGCGCAATGTTTTGCGCAGGAGGAGGAGGAGGGGGAGGAGGAGGAGGAGGAGGAGGAGGAGGAGGAGGAGGAGGAGGAGGAGGAGGAGGGGGAGGAGGAGGAGGAGGAGGAGGAGGAGGAGGAGGAGGAGGAGGAGGACGACGACGACGAGGAGGAGGAGGAGGAGGAGGAAAGGCCGCCCAAGCCCTTCGGAGAAACCCTCCGGAGCCAGCGCAGGCCTCGGGCGGAAGGGGCCGAAGGGCCCCCGTGGAACGGGCCGGGCCGTCCGCGGAGCGCGCCCGCGCGCCCGCCCGCCGCCCGCCGCCCGCTCCCAGCAGCACCGGGCTGGGCTGGCCGGCCCTCGGCCCGCGCGCCCTCGCCGGTCCGGGCGCCTTCGGCCACCCCTTCAAGCAGTGGTTATGAGGAGAGGAATGCTCTTGCCGTCCTCGTCGACCATTGTGAGCGGGTCGGTCATACTTCCTTGTAAATAATATAATTAGGAAAATTAATCATATTTAGAATATAACTATTAATATTATTAACAAAATTTTTTGCAACGGCAAGTTACATTTTGCCCCGCAAGAGGGGAGGAGGAGGAGAAAATTGGAGGAGGAAAGGAGGAGGGCGAGGAGGAGGAAGTAGGGAGGAAGGAGGAGGAAGGAAGGAGGAGGAGGAGGAGGAGGAGGAGGAGGATGGAATAAAAGAGGAGGAAAAATAGAAAAAAGAAAAGAGGAGAGGAAGAGACTGAGGAGAGAAGGGAGGAGGGGGAGGAGGAAGGAGGAGGAGGGAGGAGGAGGAAAAAGAGGAGAGGAGGGGAGAGGAAGAGGGAAGAGGAGGAGGAGGCAAGGAGCGAGAGGAGAGGGGAAAGTTGGAAAGGAGGGAAGGAGGAGGAAGGAGGAAGAGGAAGGAGGGGAAGGAGGTAGGGGGGTGGGGGGCGTGGAGAGCGAGGGGGGTGGAGGAGGGAGACGGAGCCGCCCGCCCTTGTGGCCAAAAGGGCCGGTCGGGAGAAAGAAATGCACGAGAGAAGGCCACCTGGGGCTCCGAAGGGGCATGCAAGGTGCACGTTTCTCCCCCCCCCGCCATCGTCCCCCCCTCTATGAATCAAGCAGCGGCGATGCGTCCTGGCGTGCCGATAGGCCCACCAGGGAATGTTCTAAGAGCCTTGTGCGGTTCGCACGGAGTGCTCTCAGAACATGTCTGGGTGGGACTGGTCTTGTTGACACCTCGGGCTCACTTTCTGAGAACATCGTTTGTGTTTTTTCAAACATTCCTGGGTTCTGAGAACATGACGTGGTAGGCCTATACGAATGCCCGGGCAGTCGGTCAATCCCTGCACGGATACCCAGATATCCAACGCATTGAAAAAAAAACAAGACGGAGGGCTCTCGCAATTTATGACCACTACAGGGTCCCTCGCCAGGTTCTGGAACCGTCGAAAAGCGACTCAGGATGAAAAGCCGACCCTCGGGAGAGGGTCGAGGCTTCCGGGGACCCCACATTGAAAACAATCGACATCCGATCGGTGTCACACTAACATACTTATACTATGTGTGCATCGCCCCCCCAGGGGCGACGCGCGCACCTAGAAATCTCATAGTACATGCGCCGTGGTAGGTGCTTTTGTGGCCCACACCGCTCGGGAGACGATGTACTGCAATATGGGTATACTACATGTTCGGGTGGGACGCGCGCCTCCAAGGCGGACGTATGGTATTAGTCTGTCTCCGTGCGTCCTATCGGATCTCTGGGACTCCCTCCCTCCCAAGCTCCCGGGAGCACGGGCGGGCCGGGCTGGGCGGCCTCCTGGCCGGCGTCGCTCGCCAGACGAGAGGGCAGGGGGAAGGGGGGGGGATGCCCGGGGGAGGGGGAGGGATGGGCGGGGAGGGCAGGGAGGGCAGGGGGGAGAGAGGGAGGCAGGGGGGCGGGGGGAGGGGGTCGGGGCAGGGACGGGACGGCAGGGAGAGGGAGCTGCAGGGAGAGGGAGGGAGAGGGAGGAGGACAGGGAGGGCAGGGAAGGCGGGGAGGGGGGGAGGGAAAGAGGAGAGAGAGGAGAGGGCCCTGCTTCATCTGTGTGTGATCCTAAACGTAAAAATGTAATGATGCTGTCCAGCTTCAAGGTTGGGTGGCCCAGCCAGAAATCGGCATTTGAAAACCTCCTCCCGTTCACTAAATTTCCCTCCGTCTCCTCTCCACCCGTCCCCTTCCACCTCCGATCGCCCTTCCCTTTTCCCCCCTACCCCTCCGCCCTGTCCTGACCATCGCCCACTCTTCCTCGTCCTCTTCCCCTTCGGCTGCTCTTACTTACCCCCGCTCCTCATCGCCCGCTCCTGCCCCCCCCCTCCTTTCCTCCCCTCCCTCCTCCCGTCGTCTGCCTCCTCCCCCTCCAGCTCCTCCCCCCCTTCCACACCTCCTCATCCATCCCTTTTCTCTTCGTCCTGCCCCACCCCCCCCTCCCTCCACCCCCTTCTGTCGCCCCGTCTCCTCCTCCCGGAGGCTTCCAGGACACTACGGGGCCCCACGAGTGTATCCGAAGAAACGTGCGAAAGCACACGGAGATGTGACAGGTGTACGCAGGTAAGTGCCTACCTCCATTTCCCTCCCCGAGATCCGACCTCGTGGATATTCGCTCGAAGTCTCGGCCCCATCTCTCTGCCCAGTCTCTCGAGGCGCGTCGATCCGCGAGGGCCCCCGGGGGTTCGAAGCTCGGGCGAGAGAGCACCCGCCGCCACACATGTCGGGCAGGCGGCGGGGAGGCACGCACAGGGAGGCGTCGAGGGACGCACCTTCGGGGCGTGGGGGCGGCAGTCTGAGGTTCCCGGGCAGCCTCTGCAGCGGAAGCCCATGCCAAGGAGCACCCTGGCTGCCTCCAGGGTGCCCTGGGTTTCTCGGGTGTCGATGGTGCTGCTGTGGGAAGCGCGACGCTCCCACACCGCAAATCCACGGACGTCCTGGGATCTCGGGGTTGTTTGTGGAAGGTTTCTTGTGGTCGGGGCCCCTACTGAAGCGGCTCTTTCGGGGGTGCGGTTTGCCACCCCCTCCCCTGAGGCCCGCCCGATGTTCTGTTGCACGGCCCCGCGGCTGCGTGCTGGACCCCTTGGGCGCTCACGAGGACCGCTCATCGTCCCGAGCAGTTTCCTGATGGCCCTTGGGCCCGTGGAGGGCCCCCAGAGGAGCCCGAAGTCGGCGAAAGCAACCTCCAGGAAGCCCTCCTAGGGTAAATTTCGATCTGATCGATGGGCTCGGTATCGATGCCGGCTGGCTCGATCGGATCCGATTCCGATAATCTGACGATCGGATGCAGCCCAATGTTTGCATGGCGTTACTGGTCATCCTGGCCCAGCCGATCCGATCCGTTCCGATTCCGCGCCGGCGCGGTCCGACCCGACGCCCGTGCCGATCCGACCCAACTTCTCGATTCGATGCGGATTGGTCGTGCGACCACGAGCCTGGCCCGGACCACCGTGTCTTCTGCTCCTGGACCTGTTATTCCTCCTGCCAACTGGCCGTAAGTCGGGCCTGTCCCTCTACAGGAGGAATATTCAAAAATAGTGAAAAATAGTATGGTGACGATTTGTTGACTATTTCTTATTATTTGGGGTATATGTTTGGGGTATTTCTAACTGTTCGCCAAAAGACCCCCCGTAGGTGGACATGCCCGACCTAAAGCTGGCCACGGCGCAGTCTCCCTCCTGGGCTGCGTGGATACGCGGCGCTCGTCCTGTCCATCCTGTGCAGCGAAGGTCAAGCAGTGGCGAAGCGTCCTGGCTCGCCGATAGGCCTGCCAAACACTGTTCTAAGAGCCTTTTGTGGTTCCCGCCAATTCCCGCCCAGCTACCACCTGCGGTCGAACCGCAAACGGCCCATGCCCGGATGATCCGTCGCGGTAAGCTTCCGACAGCGCTCTGGACGAATTGGTCTCGACCAGACTTCGGCATCCGGTCGCGAGTTCCTGTACCGAGCGAACCGTCGGCGCTTTCGAAACCCCAGTTTTGACCCCGACGCAGCTCGGCCCCCTCTGGTCGCGACCGACATTCGGCGCGGCCGAAATCCGGTGCCGGACAAATCGCGTCCCGAAGGATTTGGGTAAGGCTGGCTGGCCCGGCGGGGTCCCTCGGCCGGCCCGCCGCCGCCCCGCCGGCGATGGCCGGGATACGGCCAGTGCCTGGCGGCGGCCGCTCGCCGCAGGGCGGCGGCGGCGGCGGCGGCGGCGGCGAAGCCCCCCGCGCTGCAGGCCAGGGCGGGGGAGGGGGGGGGGGGTCGCGGCTCCAATGCAGCCACAGAGGGTCGGTTGCGGATCGCTCATCTTTCCCTCCTCCCCTCCTCCTCCCTCCGCCCTCCTCCCCTCCTCCTCTCCTCCTCCTCCTCCTCCTTCCTTAGCTCCTTCCTCCTCCTCCTCCTCCTCCTCCTCCTCCTCCCTCCTCCAAATTACTCTTCCTTCTCCTCATCTCCATTTTCTCTCCCTCCCCCTCCTCCTACGCTTCCTGTCCCTACTCCCTCCCTGCTTTCTTTTTTTTGCTTTCTGCTTGCTGCTGGCTGCGCCTCCTCCTCCGTTTCGCCTATGCCTCTCCTCCTCCTCTCCTCCTCTCCTCCTCCTCCTCCTCCTTCCTCCTCCTCCTCTCCTCCTCCTCCTCCTCCTCCTCCTCCTCCTCCTCCTCCTCCTCCTCCTCCTCCTCCTCTTCCTTTCCTCCATTCATGTATAAAGAGCTCCTCCCTGTCTTACCATGCGAGCTTTCCTCAAGTTGGAAATGTGCAACAGTTCCAAGAATGGTGGGCGGCTTGTTTTCAAGAAGTTGTTCTCGCTTGAACGCCGTGCACATTCGTCTGAAAAGTTTGAGGCCGATTCAAGGGTTCGTATGGTTGAAGTCGCAGGAATGGTGAATGGTGCTCTGGCACGATGGAGGAGTGTCAGGACGCAGCACTCATGTTGTTTCCCGGCGTGGAAGTCCAAGGAAAGATGTTTTGGCATGGTCGAGGATTCTCAGACGGTTGTCTTCCAGTGGAGATGTTTTCGCAATTGTAGGGACCCACGCAGAGGGAATTTGCAGGGAGGGGTTATTGCACTATCGTTGACGCGTCTTGGGTTTACACTGATCCTCCTCTTCCTCCTCCTCCTCCTCCTCCTCCTCCTCCTCCTCCTCCTCCTCCTCCTCCTCCTCCTCCTCCTCCTCCTCCCCTCTGGATTAGGAGGCTGCCTGACTGCATTTGGTTTGGCGATGGCTACCTGGAGCCCCTCCGCGGGCCGCCTTGGGGCGTCGTGGATCCCTCTTGAGGCTATCGTGGGCGCCGCTTGCAAGCCGTCTTTGGCCCCTCCTCCTCCTCCTCCTTCTCCTCCTCTTGTTTCTTTTTTTTTATTCTTTTTTTCTTCCTCCTCTCTCCTCCTCCTCTCCTCCTTCTCCTTCCTCCTCATCTCCTCCTCCTCCTCCTCCTCCTCCTTCCTACCCTCTGATCAGGAGGACAGAAACACACAGGACATACTCAATCGGACGAGATGTCCCAGAAAACATTGGAAACTATGGAAGTGGGGGGGGTGTTACCTACAGAGACCAAAATGCACACAAATAATTCATCCCGGCAAAGCAACCTAACAGCGATGTGTAGGAGCATATCTGGAAGCATTCCCTTTAAGATTCAGATGATAATCCAGTTGTAGAATTCTGCTGTTCTCGCAGTCGTAGTCGCATTCGCGATGACAGTCGCAGTGGCAACGGCAGTCGCAGTCACAGCCTCAGCCTCAGCCTGCCTCAGCCTCAGCCTCAGCCTGCCTCAGCCTCAGCCTGCCTCAGCCTCAGCCTCAGCCTGCTTCAGCCTCGGCCTCAGTCTGCCTTCAGCCTCGGCCTCAGCCTCAGCCTGCCTCAGCCTCAGTCTGCATCAGCCTGAGCCTCAGCCTCAGCCTGCCTCAGCATCAGCCTGCCTCAGCCTCAGCCTCAGCCTGCCTCAGCCTCAGCCTCAGCCTGCTTCAGCCTCAGCCTCAGTCTGCCTTCAGCCTCGTCCTCAGCTTCAGTCTGCCTTCAGCCTCAGCTGCCTCAGCCTCAGCATCAGCCTGCCTCAGCATTCAAAGTGTGGCACGGGAATGGAGTTCTGGGAACTCGAAGAACACG